TGAACTAGAACTGAACTAGAACTGAACTAGAACTGAACTAGAACTGAACTAGAACTGAACTAGAACTGAACTAGAACTGAACTAGAACTGAACTAGAACTGAACTAGAACTGAACTAGAACTGAACAAGAACTGAACTAGAACTGAACTAGAACTGAACTAGAACTGAACTAGAACTGAACTAGAACTGAACTAGAACTGAACTAGAACTGAACTGAACTGAACTAGAACTGAACTAGAACTGAACTAGAACTGAACTAGAACTGAACTAGAACTGAACTAGAACTGAACTAGAACTGAACTAGAACTGAACTAGAACTGAACTAGAACTGAACTAGAACTGAACTAGAACTGAACTAGAACTGAACTAGAACTGAACTAGAACTGAACTAGAACTGAACTAGAACTGAACTAGAACTGAACTAGAACTGAACTAGAACTGAACTAGAACTGAACTAGAACTGAACTAGAACTGAACTAGAACTGAACTAGAACTGAACTAGAACTGAACTAGAACTGAACTAGAACTGAACTAGAACTGAACTAGAACTGAACTAGAACTGAACTAGAACTGAACTAGAACTGAACTAGAACTGAACTAGAACTGAACTAGAACTGAACTAGAACTGAACTAGAACTGAACTAGAACTGAAACTAGAAACTGAACTAGAAGCTGAACTAGAACTGAAGCTAGAAACATTGAAACTAGAACTGAACTAGAACTGAACTAGAACTGAACTAGAATTGACTAGAACTGAACTAGAACTGAACTAGAACTGAACTAGAACTGACTAGACTGAACTAGAACTGAAACTAGAACTGAATAGAACTGAACTAGAACTGAAGTAGAACTGACTAGAACTGAAGTAGAACGAACTAGAACTGAACTAGAACCTGAACTAGAACTGAACTAGAACTGAACTAGAACTGAACTAGAACTGAACTAGAACTGAACTAGAACTGAACTAGAACTGAACTAGAACTGAACTAGACTGAACTAGAACTGAACTAGAACTGAACTAGAACTGAACTAGCACTGAACAAGTTTCGTATAGAAGAGTGTCTTCTTAAGGAAGATAGATTTCATGCAGAAAAATATCTTCTTTAGGAAGACAACTTTCGTCTTCTTGGGGAAAACAGTTTTCGTATAGAAAAGTATCTTCTTGTGGAAGATGGTAGAAGTTTTCTGTATTTTGTAATAGTTATGCCCTTTTGCCCTTATGTCTGCTCAACCAGTTTGTTTCTGTTTATTTTTATTATTTTCTTGCCTTTAGGTATTGTTTGTTTATTTTAATATTTATTAGGTTAAATACATACAACTAAAGTCCGATAAATAAAACATAAAAATAATAAAGTCAAGGTCAAAGAAATATTTTTTTTATAAATTTATACAAAAAATAAACATACAAACTACATAAATTAAACCCAAAAGGTTGTTGTCCATTTATTAAAATTAGTTAATTGGTTTCTTGTTTAAAAAAACATGTTATTTACAAGATTAATAAAATATTTAACAAAACCATAGAAAACCAACAACAAGAAAACCTTAAGCATCTTTTAAACAAATAAAAGGTTGCAAAAAAACTAATTTTGTATGAAAATAAAACTGGTTTCTCTTTCATTTAAACACTCTTCATTGGGTTTGTTTGTTTTATTATTTTTGTTTTTTTTTTTTCTGAATTAAAAGCGAAATACAAATACACAATATTTTGTAATTTTTTCATAATATTACATAATTTTTAAATAAAAATGTATGTTAAAATGTACAAAAAAAAAGAAGTAATTGCAATTTCAAACCAAGAGTGAGAGGAGATTTTAAACAATTGTTTGACAAAAGAGCAGTAAACAAAATGATGATTAAGTCAGAGAGTGTGTTGAAAAGAGAGAGAGTTAAGTTTGAGGAAATGTTTTGTTAAACCGGCTGAATAACAAAACATAAATGGGTTTAAAGAGGAAAAGAAGAAGACTTGATAACAAAACAAAATAAATATTAAGCAAGTTTTGTTTACCTATTCAAAAGGTTTGTGTCCAAGCTAAGTGATCTAACATAACTAAGTAATTTTAGATTGCATTGTATGTTTTCATCATTATTTGTTGCTTTTTTATAACAAAGTGTGAAATTTCTCACTTTAAATCGTTAAGATCTAAAACTGTTTAAATATTTATAGAGAAAACAATTGAAAATTGTTTTTTTATCTACTACACATGCCAGAAAAACTATTTAAAATATCAGTTATTTTAAATATTTGTTTTTTCAAAATTGTTTAATTTCACTTTAATTAATCAAAAAACCCATTTCTATTTATAGTAATTGGAGGTATTTGCTAATTTCTGGGAACATTTTAGTACTTAACTAACTACTTAACAGCAGGTCTTTACAACATATATTGTTTACTAAGTCTGGTTAATATTTATCAGTTAAAAACAAAAAAACTTGAATAGAGGTGGCGTTGTAACTCATAATAAGGAAAGTTTCCCAAATCAAGAGTGATTCTGTCATAATTTTTACTTTTCAATACAAAAACTGTCTTCCCTCAACTTCTTCTTGATTTTAAAACTGCCTTTTCCAAGAAGAATGAAAAAACTGAACTAGGAACTGAACTAATAACTAGAACTAGAACTGAACTAGAACTGACTAGAACTGACTAGAACTGAACTAGAACTGAACTAGAACTGAACTAGAACTGAACTAGAACTGAACTAGAACTGAACTAGAACGGAACTAGAACGGAACTAGAACTGAAACTAGAACTGAACTAGAACTGAACTAGAACTGACTAGAACTGAACTAGAACTGAACTAGAACTGAACTAGAACTGAACTAGAACTGAACTAGAACTGAACTAGAAACTGAACTAGAACTGAACTAGAACGGAACTAGAACTGAACTAGAACTGAACTAGAACTGAACTAGAACTGAACTAGAACTGAACTAGAACTGAAACTAGAACTGACTAGAACTGAACTAGAACTGAACTAGAACTGAACTAGAACTGACTAGAACTGAAAGACTGACTAGAACTGAACTAGAACTGAACTAGAACTGAACTAGAACTGAACTAGAACTGAACTAGAACTGAACTAGAACTGAACTAGAACTGAACTAGAACTGAACTAGAAACTGAACTAGAACTGAACTAGAACTGAACTAGAACTGAACTAGAACTGACAAGAAACTGAACTAGAACTGAACTAGAACTGAACTAGAACTGACTAGAACTGAACTAGAACTGAACTAGAACTGAACTAGAACTGAACTAGAACTGAACTAGAACTAGAACTGAACTAGAACTGAACTAAACTGAACAGAACTGAACTAGAACTGAACTAGAACTGAACTAGAACTGAACTAGAACTGAACTAGAACTGAACTAGAACTGAACTAGAACTGAACTAGAACTGAACTAGAACTGAACTAGAACTGAACTAGAACTGAACTAGAACTGAACTAGAACTGAACTAGAACTGAACTAGAACTGAACTAGAACTGAACTAGAACTGACTAGAACTGAACTAGAACTAGAACTGAACTAGAACTGAACTAGAACTGAACAAGAACTGAACTAGAACTGAACTAGAACTGAACTAGACTGAACTAGAACTGAACTAGAACTGAACTAGAACTGAACTAGAACTGAACTAGAACTGAACTAGAACTGAACTAGAACTGAACTAGAACTGAACTAGAACTGAACTAGAACTGAACTAGAACTGAACTAGAACTGAACTAGAACTGAACTAGAACTGAACTAGAACTGAACTAGAACTGAACTAGAACTGAACTAGAACTGAACTAGAACTGAACTAGAACTGAACTAGAAGCTGAACTAGAACTGAACTAGAACTGAACTAGAACTGAACTAGAACTGAACTAGAACTGAACTAGAACTGAACTAGAACTGAACTAGAACTGAACTAGAACTGAACTAGAACTGAACTAGAACTGAACTAGAACTGAACTAGAACTGAACTGAACTGAACTGAACTAGAACTAGAACTGAACTAGAACTGAACTAGAACTGAACTAGAACTGAACTAGAACTGAACTAGAACTGAACTAGAACTGAACTAGAACTGAACTAGAACTGAACTAGAACTGACTAGAACTGTACTAGAACTGAACTAGAACGGAACTACAACTGAACTACAACTGAACTAGAACTGAACTAGAACTGAACTAGAACTGAACTAGAACTGAACTAGAACTATATATTTTTTAGAAAAATATTTCTTTATATAGTTTTATATCTAGTTACATCATTTAATATTTGCTTGACCTCCTTTATCTGTCTAACCTGTCTGTATTTGTTTTAGCTTTGTTCATTATTAAACATTACATTTTACGTTTGTATTTGTTGGGTAAATATGTATCTGCTTGCAACTCATGTTGTATTTGGCTTATAAACAAAACATTAAGCTTCGCAACGCCATTGTAATAAATTTGCATGCAGTAGAAAAATAGATAAATTATAAAAGAAACGTATCTTACAGCTTAATGAAGGTAGAGTTGTACGTACATAGATACATACATGCAACGTAAATGTTTGTGCAACGTTAAGTAGTAAAATGAAACCCATTCTCATGGTAAATTAAGGAGTGTATAATGAATGTAGTTTTTTTATTATATACACATAGTTGCTGGCAGTTGACAATAATGCTTTTGCTGTAGTTGTTAATGTTATTGTATCTGCAATTGTTGTCGTTGACGTTCTTGTTGCTGTTGTTGTTGTTGACTTTTAACAAACATATTGCAAATTACATTTTCTGTTGCAGTCAGAATACAGAAAACAACGCAGCACCACAATGTTTACTTAATGTGAAAATAACTCCAAGTATTTTTTGTTATTATAATTATAGTTGTTGTTGTTTTTAAAAATAAATAATAAGAGATAATTTATAAAGAGGTTAATTATACAAATTAAATTCTTAAGCAAAAATTAATTACTATTAATTATCTTCATTTATAAAACACTTTTTACTTTCCTTTACTCTCTTCTACAGGAAAAATGTGGTGAAAATTTTGAGGTTTTATTGAATTGTAAACTAAAGCAGCCCTTTAAACACAATACTTGCTCAAAAAATAAAGCCTTCCGACTCTTAATATTGCCCATCATTGCCACTTACTCGTATACACTTGAGCCATCACTACTTAATTAACAAGTACTTAAGTGTAATTTTCATTTAAACATATAAAAAAATCTCGAAAAAATCCTTATAAAAATGTCATCAAACATTAAGTATTTTCATCATCATCATCTAGAGCAGGGACAACAACAACAGCAGCAGCAGCAGCAGTTGTCTCTATTTAATTTTACAAGAGAAATTTCGAATGTAACAGAATTGGATCCTAGCATTTTTTGGCATCCCACTTTGTCGGATTATTACCACAGTAAGTAATAGACTACTTTTCTCTCTCTCTCTTTCTCTCCACATATTTCTTTAAAATTATCAAAACAAAGCTAAGGTCAAAGGTCATTTTGTGGCTATTTTAGCATTATCGAAAATAAAACATAAATTTTTCATGCAACACACAAAAGTTATTAATAAATAATTAAATAAATTGACCAAGAAATAAAACCAAAGGTCATTTATTGTCAAAACATGTCCACTACTTAAGAAAAACATGTCTAGTCATGTTTATTTGATAGTTATTTTGATAAGGGCTAAAGATAAAAACAAGACACAAAGAAGATACTTTCCTATACGAAAACTGTCTTCCCCAAGAAGACACTTTTCTATACTAAAACTGTCTTCCCCAAGAAGAGACTTTTCTATACGAAAACTGTCTTCCCCAAGAGCACACTTTTCTATGTCTTCCCCAAGAAGACACTTTTCTATACGAAAACTGTCTTCCCCAAGAAGACACTTTTCTATACGAAAACTGTCTTCCCCAAGAAGACACTTTTCTATACGAAAACTGTCTTCCCCAAGAAGACACTTTTCTATACGAAAACTGTCTTCCCCAAGAAGACACTTTTCTATACGAAAACTGTCTTCCCCAAGAAGACACTTTTCTATACGAAAACTGTCTTCCCCAAGAAGACACTTTTCTATACGAAAACTGTCTTCCCCAAGAAGACACTTTTCTATACGAAAACTGTCTTCCCCAAGAAGACACTTTTCTATATGAAAACTGTCTTCCTCAAGAAGACACTTTTCTATACGTAAATTGTCTTCCACAAGAAGACACTTTTCTATACGAAAACTGTCTTCCCCAAGAAGACACTTTTCTATACGAAAACTGTCTTCCCCAAGAAGACACTTTTCTATACGAAAACTGTCTTCCCCAAGAAGACACTTTTCTATACGAAAACTGTCTTCCCCAAGAAGACACTTTTCTATACGAAAACTGTCTTCCCCAAGAAGACACTTTTCTATACGAAAACTGTCTTCCCCAAGAAGACACTTTTCTATATGAAAACTGTCTTCCTCAAGAAGACACTTTTCTATACGTAAATTGTCTTCCACAAGAAGACACTTTTCTATACGAAAACTGTCTTCCCAAGAAGACACTTTTCTATACGAAAACTATCTTCTCCAAGAAGACACTTTTCTATACGAAAACTATCTTCCCCAAGAAGACACTTTTCTATACGAAAACTGTCTTCCCAAAGAAGTCACTTTTCTATACGAAAACTGTCTTCCCAAAGAAGTCACTTTTCTATACGAAAACTGTCTTCCCAAAGAAGTCACTTTTCTGTACGAAAACTGTCTTCCACAAGAAGACACTTTTCTATTCGACTGGTCTATAGTCTAGTCTATAGTCTAGTCATAGTCTAGTCTAGTCTAGTCTAGTCTAGTCTATAGTCTAGTCTATAGTCTAGTCTATAGTCTAGTCTATAGTCTAGTCATAGTCTAGTCTATAGTCTAGTCTATAGTCTAGTCTATAGTCTAGTCTATAGTCTAGTCTATAGTCGTCTATAGTCTAGTCTATAGTCTAGTCTATAGTCTAGTCTATAGTCTAGTCTATAGTCTAGTCTATAGTCTAGTCTATAGTCTAGTCTATAGTCTAGTCTATAGTCTAGTCTATAGTCTAGTCTAGTCTAGTCTATAGTCTAGTCTATAGTCTAGTCTATAGTCTAGTCTATAGTCTAGTCTATAGTCTAGTCTATAGTCTAGTCTATAGTCTAGTCTATAGTCTAGTCTATAGTCTAGTCTATAGTCTAGTCTATAGTCTAGTCTATAGTCTAGTCTATAGTCTAGTCTATAGTCTAGTCTATAGTCTAGTCTATAGTCTAGTCTATAGTCTAGTCTATAGTCTAGTCTATAGTCTAGTCTATAGTCTAGTCTATAGTCTAGTCTATAGTCTAGTCTATAGTCTAGTCTATAGTCTAGTCTATAGTCTAGTCTATAGTCTAGTCTATAGTCTAGTCTATAGTCTAGTCTATAGTCTAGTCTATAGTCTAGTCTATAGTCTAGTCTATAGTCTAGTCTATAGTCTAGTCTATAGTCTAGTCTATAGTCTAGTCTATAGTCTAGTCTATAGTCTAGTCTATAGTCTAGTCTATAGTCTAGTCTATAGTCTAGTCTATAGTCTAGTCTATAGTCTAGTCTATAGTCTAGTCTATAGTCTAGTCTATAGTCTAGTCTATAGTCTAGTCTATAGTCTAGTCTATAGTCTAGTCTATAGTCTAGTCTATAGTCTAGTCTATAGTCTAGTCTATAGTCTAGTCTATAGTCTAGTCTATAGTCTAGTCTATAGTCTAGTCTATAGTCTAGTCTATAGTCTAGTCTATAGTCTAGTCTATAGTCTAGTCTATAGTCTAGTCTATTGTCTAGTCTATAGTCTAGTCTATAGTCTAGTCTATAGTTCTAGTCTATAGTCTAGTCTATAGTCTAGTCTATTAGTCTAGTCTATAGTCTAGTATATAGGCTAGTCTATAGTCTCTAGTCTAGTCTAGTCTATAGTCTAGTCTATAGTCTAGTCTATAGTCTAGTCTATAGTCTAGTCTATAGTCTAGTCTATAGTCTAGTCTATAGTCTAGTCTATAGTCTAGTCTATAGTCTAGTCTATAGTCTAGCTATAGTCTAGTCTATAGTCTAGTCTATAGTCTAGTCTATAGTATAGTCTATAGTCTAGTCTATAGTCAGTTAAGTCTAGTCTATAGTCTAGTCTATAGTCTAGTCTATAGTCTAGTCTATAGTCTAGTCTATAGTCTAGTCTATAGTCTAGTCTATAGTCTAGTCTATAGTCTAGTCTATAGTCTAGTCTATGTAGTCCTAGTCTAGTTATAGTCTAGTCTATAGTCTAGTCTAAGTTAGTCATAGTCTAGTCTAGTCTAGTCTATAGTCTAGTCTATAGTCTAGTCTATAGTCTAGTCTATAGTCTAGTCATAGTTAGTCTAGTCTATAGTCTAGTCTATAGTCTAGTCTATAGTCTAGTCTATAGTCTAGTCTATAGTCTAGTCTATAGTCTAGTCCTATAGTCTAGTCTATAGTCTAGTCTATAGTCTAATCTTCGTATAGAAAAATGTCTTCGTTGTGGAAGAAAATGTCCTTGTTGTTTTGGTTATTTTTCTTTAATAATCTCCCTTTATAAGTAATTCACCTAGTGAATACAGAGTACGTTAGGTGAACTTTAAATAGCCTTAACAAAATTAGTCATTTTTCATTTACAGCTTAAAGCAGCTGCCACAAATGGCCATAACTTTGTTTTCTTACAAAAATAAAAACTTCCTTAAAAGTTGTTCCTTTCCATAACCTTCCTTTTTGGACTAGTAGTAGCAAAAACTAAACTAACCGCGAAATTATTTCTGCATCATAAACATTAATAGACTTCCCCCGTGAAATAATGTAAAGTCTTTGATCCCTTTTGCCACTAATAACTGCTGTTACCTCATGGCTTTGCACATATTATTTATGACTGTTATAATTTTTTGCTTCCTTATGTTTTCTGTTGTTTCTTTTTCTTTTAGATCTTACACCTTTTATAACACTTTCCGTATTTGTGGCAACACTTCTGTTAATACTCAACATTTCCATATTTTGTACCACGGTATCACGCGTCAAACGGCGCGTGGATGTCTATTTTAGGGGACCCACCATAGTGTTGTGCTCCCTGTATCCTATCATTTGTTGTGCAGCTTTAACGACCATTTTATTACCGAAAACCTGGTTAATATGTCACACCGTCATGCATTTATGCTTTACGGTGGGTGCGGTAATGTTTCGCCAATTATGTTTCCGTTATGTAGATTCTGAGGTGAATTATATGAAAGAAACTGATGGTGCTGCGGTTGCTATAAATACACCACCTTGTTGTTGTTGCTGTTTATGTTTGCCGGCCTTGGTGCCATCGAAGGCTAAGTTTTGTTTGTTGCGTTATATGGTGTGGCAAATGCCTTTTGTCCAGGGCTGTATAATGTTGGTATTAAATGTGATCTATTATAGGGAACAGGTAAGTATTGTTTGCGCAAATTTTAATTTTATTCAAATTTATTTTCATTCGTTTTCCTTTGCAGTCTTTGTATCAGAGTGTTTCTTTGTATTTTATACCTTTTATTGTGTGCTCTATTTTAATGGGTTTATGGGGCTTAAACATCACCGTACGTATGGTCAATGTCATACATTCCGAATACAATTTAATGGTTAGTGTGTTAAACATTATCTCTACCCCTTTTTAAAGCCAAAAAAATCAATTAATATTCTTCCTCTCTCTCTTTCTCTCTCTCTCCTTAGAAAAAAATGTTTTGCCTGCAACTCATTTTGCTGTTGTGTAAATTGCAATATCTTTTATTGGACAGTCAATTGAATCATTTAGTTTTAGGCGGGGAATATCCCATCAATCACACCATTTACAAACAAAGTAAGTACCATGATTTTTAACTACAACAGGCCTCCCTCCCTCCCCCTATTGGTAAGCAGTCCCATTAATTGTTCTTTGTTTTCATTTTAGCAATCATAAATCTTTTGATTTTATGCGAAATGGTTTTGGTCTCAATGTTAGCCCAAAATGCCTATAAAATACCTACTTAAAAAAGGAACAAATGTGGAGAACCTAACAGGGCTATTCAGCAGAGTACAGTTGCGTTATTAAGCAAGCGTAATATTTTAAGAAATACTTATAGTGATTGTGATATAAATTATATTCTAAAACAAATTTTTATTAAAGGAACAAGAAAAAACCTTAAAAAACGTTTTTAATGATTTTATTCAGAAGAGTAAGCAATTCAGCAGAGCTGAGTTGACTTAAAATCATGAAAAACTTAACAAAATTATCAAAACTTTCAATTCAGCTAAAGGATTTAAAAAATCACTCCTACATTTCCTTATTTATACACAAAACTAGGCCAAATTATCAAAATTTACAATTCAGCTTGGCTGAATTCAATTTAACTTCAATTCAGCTAAAGAATTAGAACAAAACTTTAACAAATTATTCATTTTATTAAATAGAATTAAAAATTAAGACCATTCAGCTAGCTGAATAAAGCTATAATACTAAATAAATGTATAATTTTAAGTTTTTAAAGTATTCAGCTAATTCAGCAGACATTTATCAAGTCTAAAAACTTTAAACTGTAAAAAATGATTAATTCAGCTAAGCATTATGCAATTAAACATCAATTCAGCTAAAAGATTTTAACCAAAATATAAAAATTTATTCATTCAGCTAGCTGAATTACAAAGTAAGTTCATTTTCCTTGTGTTTTTTTAAATTTTATTTTTTTTAACCAAAATATAAAAATTTATTCATTCAGCTAGCTGAATTACAAAGTAAGTTCATTTTCCTTATGTTTTTTTTTTTAATTTTATTTCAATTTCTTTAAAATTCTTCAATTCAGCTAGCTGAATTTCAATACTTTACACAAAATGTGAATTTTTAATAAGTTTTCTGACAAATTATATAAAAAAATTACTATTCAGCTAGCTGAATTTATTTTAAATTAAAAATTTCATAGTTATTTAATAAAAATATGGAACATTACTATATTTTCAACTAATTCAGCTGGCTGAATTGCCGAAATATTAACAAAATATAATTTTTTTTCCTAAATTTTGAATAATTTATATGAAAACATTAATAGTCATTTAGCTGAATTGATATTTTCCTTCATATACATTAGTTTTTTATTGCAAATATGGCCGATTGCTATATTTTAAACATATTCAGCAAGCTGAATTCTAAAAAATCTAACATTTTCTTGAATTCTTTTAAAATTGTCTTGAAAATTTCTTGTTTTATTTAAAACTTTTTCTGGTTTTCCATTTAATGTTTAAGTTTTAGTTTATTTATTAATGTTTTAAGAAATTGAAGTTTGGTTTCTTTTGATATTTATTAAGAAATTTTGTCAAAACATTCTTTGTTTCTTTTGTAAGTATTTATAGCTCCTTTTTGCTTCTTATAGATTTCATTATTTAGTTTATGTTTTTTTTTAGAAAAATAAAAAAGAAAACCAACAAAATTTCAAATAAGTCTTTGATCCAAAAATATTTTATTTTTCTATTATTATTTCTAAAGCATTTAAAAACATCAAAAAAGAGTATAAAACAGTAAGTAACAAAAGTAAAGGTACATTCATTAAAAACTCATTATTTATAGATTTTACTTTTTATACAAAAATTAAAAAATTTAATTTTCTTTAAAGAAATTTTAGTTTTTTTTTATATTGTTAAAATCTAAAGGTTTCTTTACTTTTGCACCTGACTGTCTTTGTTTACGGACGAGCTGAATATAAATTCTATGTATTTAATACAAATTTATTACACTCCATACATTCGCATGTAATCAAGAAAATAAACACAAAATAACAACAAGAACAACAACAGCTCAAAATTCAATTCAGTTTAATATTATTTCTCGATGAAATAGAAAATAAAATACAGACAAAGAATCAGTGTCAGAGTAGTAGCGGTAGTACCAGAAGAAGATGACGTCGAAGATACTATAAAAAAACACTTTAGATAGATTGTCAGGATATTGACAGCTGGTAAAATGCTAATTTCTCACATTAAATGTGAGAAGTAGCACACACAGCCGTTAAAATGAAAGTGAAAATGATACTTATAGTAGGCGAAGAACAAGTGGACTTACATGTGTGTGAGTTCTAAAGGATATTGTAGGTCTTAAAAGGGGGTAAGTAAATATACACAATATATCGGATATATAAACATACGAAATGATATGGGTTATGTAGGGGTAGATGTTGTTGCTGTTGTTGTTTCTTTCTGCTCTGTTTGTAACTGATCAAAGCCAATCAATTGAATTTGCTTACAAAAGTTATAATAAACTGGGGGTATTCAATTAATAGGGTTTTTATTTATATTTTTCTTGAACAGAACTAGAACAGAACTAGAACAGAACTAGAACAGAACTAGAACAGAACAAGAACAGAACAAGAACAGAACTAGAACAGAACTAGAACAGAACTAGAACAGAACTAGAACAGAACTAGAACAGAACTAGAACAGAACTAGAACAGAACTAGAACAGAACTAGAACAGAACTTGAACAGAACTAGAACAGAACTAGAACAGAACTAGAACAGAACTAGAACAGAACAAGAACACTAGAACAGAACTAGAACAGAACAGAACAGAGCAGAACAGAACAGAACAGAACAGAACAGAACTAGAACAGAACAGAACTAGAACAGAACTAGAACAGAACTAGAACAGAACTAGAACAGAACTAGAACAGAACTAGAACAGAACTAGAACAGAACTAGAACAACTAGAACAGAACAGAACTAGAACAGAACTAGAACAGAACTAGAACAGAACTAGAACAGAACTAGAACAGAACTAGAACAGAACTAGAACAGAACTAGAACAGAACTAGAACAGAACTAGAACAGAACTAGAACAGAACTAGAACAGAACTAGAACAGAACTAGAACAGAACTAGAACAGAACTAGAACAGAACTAGAACAGAACTAGAACAGAACTAGAACAGAACTAGAACAGAACTAGAACAGAACTAGAACAGAACCTAGAACAGAACTAGAACAGAACTAGAACAGAACTAGAACAGACTAGAACAGAACTAGAACAGAACTAGAACAGAACTAGAACAGAACTAGAACAGAACTAGAAAGAACTAGAACAGAACTAGAACAAACTAGAACAGAACTAGAACAGAACTAGAACAGAACTAGAACAGACTAGACAGAACTAGAACAGAACTAGAACGAACTAGAACAGAACTAGAACAGAACTAGAACAGAACTAGAACAGAACTAGAACAGAACTAGAACAGAACTAGAACAGAACTAGAACAGAACTAGAACAGAACTAGAACAGAACTAGAACAGAACTAGAACAGAACTAGAACAGAACTAGAACAGAACTAGAACAGAAATAGAACAGAACTAGAACAGAACTAGAACAGAACTAGAACAGAACTAGAACAGAACTAGAACAACTAGAACAGAACATAGAACAGAACTAGAACAGAACTAGAACAGAACTAGAACAGAACTAGAACAGAACTAGAACAGAACTAGAACAGAACTAGAACAGAACTAGAACAGAACTAGAACAGAACTAGAACAGAACTAGAGCAGATCGATTTCAATTATTCGAACGTTTAATAAATAAAAATTAATCGATTAATCGAATGACTGAATACCCTTTTAAAAGCACATACGCACACTGACAGACACGAGGCTTCATTTGTATCACTAATACTAAATCAAACACTTAAACATGAAACAATTTACACATACAATATTCTGCCAAACAAATTCAATAGTATTTGCTAAACTTGTAAACAAGTTACTAAACGAGGGTAGTAGGAAAAGGTTTAAAATTATGAAATTTTATATACAAAATTTTAAAATAATTTAAAAAAATTTTTAAAAAGTTAAATAATCATGAGATTGTGGCCAAGAGATTCTTGAGTATTATTAAAAACCCTTTCAGGACCGACTCTGTTTTTAATTTTGCTACAACTTAATACCTTCGACACGCTTTCAAATGTTTGAGTATTAGGAAAAACAAGCTCTACACATCATAGATTACACATATTTACATTACATGTTCACGTTAAACATGTAAAATATTTGAACATTTTAAAGAAAGTAAAAATCGAGGAAAAAATTGATTTTTAAAGAAAATATGGGTGATTTCTACTCAAGCTCCTTTTTCAATTTGAATGTGTTCTAAGAGAGTTACAAGCGATGTTAATTTTTCGACCTGGATATCAAATTCTGAAGGTTTTTAGAAGATTGCAAACAAAATTTCTACAATTTACAATAGATTATTGTCAATTCATGCTTTAAATGCAATTATTACTAATGTCAAATATATCTAATATTGATGTTTTCAATTTCAAACTTGACAGATTTTCCATACAAAAGCAAAATTATTCAAGTGCATAACACTAACACAACTAAAAAAAATCTCACACACACGCTCTTGCATAAGCACTGTTAGAATAGTATTTCTCTTTATAACTACTTAATGCAACACTAATCACACTCTAACTCTTTAAAATTCTCACTCTTTCCCACGCTTACACATACACAAACCCCCAACAAATCACTCTTTATATGCAAATACATATGAGTGCAGTTGTGTTCTAGTAATAGGAAGGGAGTGCTAGTGGGTGGTGGTTGACTGTCTATGTATGTGTTTGTTTGCATATGTGTTTTTGTTTATATTGAATGATGGTTTTATGGTTTAATGCTTCAACGGTTTGTTTATGTTCGCTCAATCGTTTGTTAGTTCGTGTGTGTGCGTAAGTTCGTTCCTCAAATATAATGGCATGTAATTTATATTGCAAATTATATGGAGTATAATGTAAGGCGTTTGTTATAAATACTGAAAAATTTACAGGTATTAACAACGTAATCAACCTTTAACGTCCTCGTCGTCACTCATTTTTTATGACATAAAGGTCATAATAATTATGTAATTATAACTGAAAATTTATTAGTTAATTTAGAGTTAGAATTAGCGAGAGTGGACTATAGACTAGACTAGACTAGACTATAGACTAGACTATAGACTAGACTATAGACTAGACTATAGACTAGACTATAGACTAGACTATAGACTAGACTATAGACTAGACTATAGACTAGACTATAGACTAGACTATAGACTAGCTTATAGACTAGACTATAGACTAGACTATAGACTAGACTATAGACTAGACTATAGACTAGACTATAGACTAGACTATAGACTAGACTATAGACTAGACTATAGACTAGACTATAGACTAGACTATAGACTAGACTATAGACTAGACTATAGACTAGACTATAGACTATACTATAGACTAGACTATAGACTAGACTATAGACTAGACTATAGACTAGACTATAGACTAGACTATAGACTAGACTATAGACTAGACTATAGACTAGACTATAGACTAGACTATAGACTAGACTATAGACTAGACTATAGACTAGACTATAGACTAGACTATAGACTAGACTATAGACTAGACTATAGACTAGACTATAGACTAGACTATAGACTAGACTATAGACTAGACTATAGACTAGACTATAGACTAGACTATAGACTAGACTATAGACTAGACTATAGACTAGACTAGACTAGACTATAGACTAGACTATAGACTAGACTATAGACTAGACTATAGACTAGACTAGACTATAGACTAGACTATAGACTAGACTATAGACTAGACTATAGACTAGACTATAGACTAGACTATAGACTAGACT